TGATTGACTTTTCCTTTTTTTTTTTCTCTCTCCAAGCATCTTAATAACATTGAAATGATTTTAGATTGAGGGTTTTTAACTTTAAAAATATTTTTATTGAAAATCTTCACATATATAAACTAAATTTTAAAAGTAAATTCATTGTTTTGAGCATATTTACAGGTTGGGAAAGCACTTAATATGATGTGGTAGTAGTTGTTATATGGAGGCTTGCAGTAGTTGTCATAGCCACTGGAGATTTTCCATTAATTCATAATGGCAGATGTAAATTGTTTGTAGAACTGATAAGCTTTTCTTTCATTTATGTGTAACCCTTGAACAGTAAGTTATATTTTTCTGTACAAATTAACTATCTCAGCTTAGCCCCCCCCCCAATGGCACTTGCCTTAAAATTTCATCCAATATATTTATTTTTTTTTCCTTTCTCTCTGGATAACCTGCAAAACGTTTTTCCTAGTTTGAAGGTAGTAACTTGATGTAGATTGTTATCATAGCATGAAGACCTAATCAATAACCTGAACTTCATTGTGCTGAGACAGATCTGATGCTGCTACTGTACTACTGTTCACACTGGCAGCTGAATCAGTGGTCAGCAAAATGCTCTGGAACGTGTGTATCACCTTTGGATGGATTGTACATTTTTTATTAGCTGTAAAATCCATTAAATTCCATGTGCAAGTTAAAAGTACATTAGATTAGTATGTATCAAATAGTCAAGCCACTAATCAGTCTGCTGCTGTTAATAGTATTTCAAAGTGACTGATCAATTAATATTTTAAACTTATTGGATTGTCTATTTCTTTTCCTGGTAAAAATGGACTGTTCAACTTTTCAGAGATATTTTCTTGAGAATTTCTCTTATTACATTTTTTTTTCTATTTTGATGTTCACATTTGATTTAAATTTTCATCACATATCAGTTTTTGATAATTTGAACTTAACACTCATTCTTATTTGGTGAGAAAATATATTAGATTTATTCTTTTATTCATTGTTAATGGCTTTCTTCTTTTTTTTAAAGTCTTAACTGAAAAGATGAAATTTCATTTCCATTTTCTTAAAGATTATAGAATTAGTTATATAACAGTTAAAAAGGTTTTACTTTAACTGTAACCTAATATTGTAATTATTTATTTTGGTTAATAATTTTCCCATATTATATTAATAGGACTAGTTATCCATCAAAACACTTGCTGTAAGATTTTTTTTTTTTTTTTTTTAAATTTTATCTAATAAAACCAATGATGTATTTTTGAACATCAAAAAAAATTGAAAGTTATTGTTCTTTAAATTTTCATTAAATGTTTTGATTGGAACAAATGTTTTTAAGTTTCTTAGTTTGACATTAAAAAAAAAATAATAAAAAAAAATACGTAACTGATTCATAATAATTACAAATGTTAAAAAAAATAGTTAATATTGCAAAGTTAATTTTAGCCAGCCAGATATTTTGGCAGTAGTATACTGGTGGATTGGTATGTGTTTGATGTTTGGAAGTTTAAATCTGAGCAGCAATAATCTAATTTTATATATCAAAGATAACCAACCAAACAAAATTGACATTCTTTTCTAGAAGATGCTCAAATATGCATATTTTTCTTTCTGTCATGTTTCTTTTTGTTTTTAATTTATTACACATACCTATATTAGTATCTGTTCATAATCTACAAATCTAACTATTCAAACAGCTTTGTCCTTTAATAAATATTCATAAAATGCATTCATTCTAATTAATAAACATTTACTTATAATTTATATATTTAGAAACTTAAAATCTTCAACAACATTGCATCTGGAAAATTTTTCTTTGAAGTTTCTATTTATAAACCTTAGCAATTTGATATGTAGAATTTCTGGATGGTTTCTAAGGTCTTCAAAAAACAAAAACTATACAGATTAGTTACCTATTTCAAAGATTTTTCTTTAAGAATTTATCATGCCTAAGTTTTTTTCTATGTGTATTTATTGATATTATTTATTGCTGGTTCCATCATATTAAGAACTTCTCCATGAATAGAAACATAACCAAAATTTTGAATGAAAGTAACAAATTCTAAAAAAAAGTGGGGGGAGTGGGGTCCTTTTTTGCAGATTTCTGAAAAATTTTATTTGATGAGCCTATCTTTTAATTTATTTGGTATATCAAAAAGAATATCTGAATTATCTAGTTGGCTTGAGTATCATGGCTGAATTAAAATTGTTACTTTTAATTTATTTGTTGCCTCATATTTATTAGGAAGCCCCTAATAGAAAACACTATTGATACATATAATCTTAAGATATATGGATGAAACTGTATCAATGGCAAACACAAACTGAAAGAACTCTTAGACAATGTAGTGAAGAAAAGCAGGAAGAAAGGACTTAGAGAATGCATGATTGTCAACAAGAGATAGTGCAACGCATAAGCTACATACTGGGGATGTCAAAATTTTGCAGGTACATAAATTTAACTATGGTGGTTGTCTAATAATAAATGACAACAATTGTGACAGAAATTTGAAGGTGCATAGTTAAAGATGCCATCCAGAAACTCAGCAAAGTATTAAGTGATAGGACAAATGTTGTTGAATGCAGGATTAACTTTAACTGCATAAAAAAAAATTACTTGGATTTGTAGAATATGTATCTGCATAAATGATGTATGTCTGATCTGTTTATAGCTTGTTTAAAATGTAGGTTGATTGACACAATTAAATCTTCTTAAGTTGAACATTTTCCAGCACAGCACTTTAATATTGGGTTCTTTATAGCTATGACTGCTGTAATACAGAATTTAAGCATCTAACTAGTTTGGACTTGTGACAGTTAATTGGGCTAAATAAGTTTTTCTTTTTTTTTTTTTTTTATCAGTTGTTACAGTAAAGTATAAAAATATTGCTTTATCACTCAATTTAATTCATATACTTTGTTTTGATTGGTATTGGCTCTGTAAAATTTCTTTTAGATACACAAGAGCAAATAGATTTTAAGTTGAAATATTGCTTTTCTTCCAAGTGTGTATGTGTATAGGTCAAACACACATTTTTAACAATTTCACTCCAAGGAAGACAAAGTCACTAAAGATGTGAGAGAATGAGAGAAAAAAAAACTATTACTAAGAGAGAACAATAAAAGAACAGGAATCAAGACAGAAGTTAATGATTGACATTGCATTTAAATTTTTGAAAATCAATGTTGGCTGGAAAGCAAGAAGCAGAGTTCCACAAATGAGAAGTGCAAAAAAAGAAACTATTAGCATAGAACTTACGGTTACATCTAGCGGCCATTTCAACTGTAAATTGATGAGACCTTGTTGCTAATCTGGTACTGTGCTTAAATTCATAAAATCTAGGTACCATAGAGGAAAGTTCATCAGAATATACAAGAAATTTTTATTGAATTAATCTGAATCCTATATGTTTTTCTTTTCTATTACTGAAGTTTAATTTAAAAAAAACAATCTGCTCTGCTTCTGTTAAGTTACTTGCACTTAAGGTTTCTGAAAATACATGAAGTTGAACTGTTAATCTTAGAGAATGATCTTTATTGTATCATTAAGCCATAAGAAACTCCACTTAAATGAGTATAAATGTTTAGAAAATTATCTTTGACCAAATCACCCTTTAACTTCAATACTGTACAAACACATTGTTCATGTACTTTTGATATAGTAAGGAATTGTGACTAATTACTTGGTAGCTTTATAAGAAAAAAATAGAATATTCTAACAAGCTTGCAGAAAAACTTGATCACATTGGCTCATGCACTTGGCATGTCATCTATCATAAAAATTTGCAGCCTAAATGTTGATTTTGCCATCTTAGGTGAGACACACATAAAATCAATCCACTATATTCTTCTATACAAGCAAAGTAAGAGATAATACCATCAGTTTTTTGTTTTACTTGCTGATCAAATAAAAAGCAAGAAGAGAGCTCATGAAGTGTTGTTTTCACAATATAATGAGCATGTTTTGATACTTGTCTTAAATTTCTAAACTAATCTCTAGGATAATTGTATTCCTATTTTTTTCTTGAGTAATTCTCTTGTTCTTCATTGCTTACTTACACCATCTAAAAATAAGATTTAAGGAATACCAGAAGTCTATAATCTTTGCAATGTCTTTCAAATCAGGAATGGGTGATTGTGTGCAGAGAAAGAATGTACTTTATCAGAATAATTGACAGAATAAGACTGTTAAAGGAATCGGCACATATAATATGATCAGATCATGCAATCGACAGGCCAAGCATAGATATCAATAATATATAAGAACCACTGCTTAGAAAAATGATTCAAAAAACATGCACAGAAACCAAACCTGTTTGGGAAAGCATGCGCATGCTCCAACTGGATATTGGTTAAGTTTTTTATCAAATAAAATGAGCACCTGAGGAAAGATCAAATATACAATTGATGAAACCATATAACAAGAAAGCGATGAAAGACAAGTATCAAATTGGGAAAAACAAAAGAACAAATACATACAGTGAGTTCACTACCTTAAAACTGCATCAAGTGCAATAACATTTTCCAAACACATTTTCATTTAAGATTTTTGTTTTTGTGGAAATCAGAAAGTAACTGGGTGGTTTTAAAATTGCATATTATGTTTTAAGACTTTATTTTTAAATTAAATTTTCTTTTTGATTTTTATTATGAATCATGTTTGTTTTTCTTTATATTTTTATTTAAGTTATTGCTTGGTTCAATGTTAATTATAAAGCAACACTTAAAAAGATTTAATATTTTGTTTGAAAGGTATTTTAAATTTAAGCTGGAGGAAAACTAATTTTTTCTTAAAAATATTGAAAGTTTAAATTTTTTGCTTCTGATTCATAATATTAGTTTTTAGTATTTTCTAGAATAAAATAATTTTACTTAAAAGGCTGTAATACTTACTACATGCTTTCAAGACTTTTTAGATAGTGTTTTGTGTATTTGTCTGTTAACATAAGAAACTTAAGCAAGAATTTGATTCATACTGAAAATAAGTATTTTTATTTTCGCTTTTCTAGGAAAGAGTACATGCAAAAGATCCACCAAATGTCTACCTTAACAAACTACGGACATATCTGGATCCGCGGGCTAGTCGTAATCACAGAGTTCGAACGTTATATGTAAGTATTTTTTTCTGATTCAGTTTTGCATTGTCCTCAATGTGTCTTGATCATTTCTCTTGCTGACACTGTTTTAAACATTTGCTTCATCTCCAAATTAAATTACTCCATTTCTTTACTGGCAGTTTTTGGTTCTCTTGTTACATTTGATGCTATTTTTTGTTATTTTTTTGATCAGTTTCAGCTTACTTCATTATTGGCATAAATAATTTTGACTTTACTAACAAATTTATTTTCATTAGGTACAAGTTGTTCAATGTTTATTTTAAAATTTTCCCAATATTTGAACTGGTAAATTCATTTTGTTTTTACTTGTACACGTTTCAATGTTTCTCAGGATTGTGCATCATATCTGAGAATCTTTTGAAGAAATTTTTTTTTTTTTTGCTAACATTTTTCAGCTAATAAATTAGAAAAATTCAAATATAAGTAACAGTCATGTTATACTTGGAATTATTGATTATATTTTAGTGACTGAGATTGCATAATTCTGCATGTTAATACCAGTGGCATGGTCATCAAAAGATTTAACCTAAAGAACATTGTCTATTAATTATCTATATATCAGTTTATAAAAAAAAATCTTCACAATAAATCCTCAAACTTAAATTGGCACAGAGTTTATTCAGCTGTTGTGGTGTTGGTGGAATTCTGAAAATTTAATGTAAATCTTTTTACTGTCAAGTTTTCTTCATGGATTAGATAACCTAGTTGTATGATTAACCTTCAGTAGTTTATAGGTAAGTATAGTATAGTTTTAGAAAATTACTTTTTTGGTTTAAAAATTTAACTTTTATTTATAAAAATCAGTATATTATAACTAAATGCACACTAATATAGTTAAAATAAACTTGTTTACCTATTTGGTGAACAAAAATTCAAATTGGATTTTAAATATTTTGCTTGTGTGATTTTAATTTGCATTAGAAATATTTGATTTTTTTTTTTTTTTCAATGACTTTGTCATTGAATAATCCTGAATATTAATATTGAAATCATTTTTAACATTAGATGGAGCATCAGTTTCTCTAGCTTTGCTTCTTTTACAATACAAAAGTGTTTATTTCACTTTATTGAATATCTATTCAGCAAACATGGATAAACATGCCTGCAATAAGATAGTGTCGAAAGGATGTTTTTTCCACATAACACTTTTTCTTTGCCAATAAATAAAAGGTAGTTAAAAAAGAAATGTTTATTATTAGAAGTAATGATTAGAATTGTAATAAGACCTAAGCATACCGAAGTGAATTTATACATTTTCTTTTGTTGAGAATTTACAACAAAAAATATTAAACACTATTTATTTATTAGATTGTTTATTTATACTATTTATTATATTATAGGAATGGTTGGCAAAACCTTGGCTAATTGCCAATTGATTCAAACTTTATAAAATAGTAAATAATAATGATTTCTTTATATAGGGTGCCCCACAAAAAACAGGAAATTTGGTACAGTTTATTTAATTGTTGAAATTTTTGTTACAGTTATTTGAAACAAGCAAAAAATAGAAATTTAGTAGCTAAAGACAGAGCAAAAACACAAATGTTCAAACTAAAGAACTCTGTTAAAATTTTTTTTTTCAATCCCCATGTTGGATGTTCTTTCTTAAAGAGAACAATCACATTGTGTTGAAAATTTGATAACTGTGGTGTCCTGGAACAACAAATGGTTAAAAAAAAAATTAATTTTTTTTTTTTTTTTTTTTTTTTAGTTCATTCATATAGTAAAATATATAGTTCATTTTTTTTTTTTTTTTTTCCTCATATAGTAAATCTAAAATTTCCTTTTTTGTCGGGAATTCTGTAGTTCATAATTTTAATAATTTTGTTTTTTATACTTTTTATGAATAAAAATTTGATTTCATATTTATTTCTTTATAAATTGGTAAAAGATAGTGCATTTAGTTTTAATTGTATTAATTTTTAGAATATTGTAAATATAAAATTCTAATGAGTAAGCAATGTATAAATTCACATTTTTAGGTTTTATTCCAATTCTAATCATTGCTTTTTAATGCACACATTGCTGAAGAGTGCAGGAAGTTAAAATAAAAGCACTGTCATGGGAAAAATTGTCCTCTTAACACTTCATTGTAGTGTAGGCACATTTATCCTTGTTTGTCATCTATTCTATAATATAAACTAAACCTGATCTCCCCTATTTGTGATCAGATATTCCATTGGGGGATCCACTTGATGTTACCATAATGATATGGCTAATACATTGATTTTTGTTTTTTATTTTAGCTTTCTTTGTATATTTTTACCTTTTTAATGATTAAAAAATTTTTTTAGATTGTAAAAAAGCTGAGGCATCAGTTAATAGTATACAAAAAATGAGATTACTAATGGAGAAAATAAAATGAAGTTTAATTTAAGACATTCTCAATGAGAACTACTGAAGATTTTGTGCAACCAGAGATTTAAAGATAGTGTTTGTTTATTTATTAGATATGTAAAAATTAAACCTTGTCAATAAATAGTACAATGTGTCGGATGTGTAATATTTTTGAAAACACTCAGATATTTCACTGATCCTAAGCAAAGGTCCAAGGAACATTTAAATTTTCAACAGGATGCATATTTACTTCAATCATAGGTAGAAGTACTGATTCATATGTAAATAATCCCATAAATTTTGATGATTACTATGCTAGTATTTTAATATTAAAGTGCAAAATATAATTTACAAAAGGCATTAAGTTCTGTTTTGTTCACCAACTCCTCTTTTTCCTTATTGCAGAGGAAAAAGTTACAAGACTTAATTGATAGTATTGACTTTTCTAGATGAACTGTTGTTGTTGGATATAAAGGAATATAAATTTTGATAATTTATTTTTTTGTGCATATCTAATACTCAAGTTTTGAAAATCTTTTATTTTAATTTTTTTGCAAAGTAAAACTGCCTTTATTTTTTTTTTTATATTCATTAATATTCGCTAGTAACTTGATATGTTACTTGTATAGTGTCTATAAAAAGATAAAAGTTGGATGTACATTTACATTTTTATTAGTATTTATGTTCAAAATTTTGCAGCTAAGCAGCTTAAGTCCTACTCTGATCAGGTTTAAGCTCTTACTTTGTATTTTTAGAGTTTTATAGCTTTTTTAAAAAATTTTTTCATTGTTTTTTTTTTTTTTTTTTCTTTTTCTTTTCTAATTGTCTTTCTATAGTTTCTCTTACTCCGTAAATATTCAGTATTAATAAAGACTGAGGAAAATAAGTGAATTTGATAAGTCTTATTGAAAATTCAATTAGTGTAAATATTTTAAGTATTTTTTGTTGACAATTGAATTTTTTTTAGTTAGGACATTAAAATGTTTGCTACATTTAACTTATGGATAACTTCCTTTCCACTCCTTTTTAGTGTTTCCATTTTATTCATCATATCCTGATTATTTTAATGGCATTAATTACTTTTTCTTCTCCTTTATATTACATCACTTTGAGTTCTTACAGCAAACAACCTCTTTCTCCTTTGTTGATTCATATCTTTTTATACCTTACTTGATGGCTTCATTCTCTATTATGTCTACTGAGTTAGAAATAAAGGTCATTGTTCTCTTCAAAATTTCATCTCCTGCAGATTTGATTAATACATAGCTTTCCCTGTTTGGTTGCTAAGATATCTTCCTCTTTGCATTAATTGTTTCTTAACAGGATTATTCTGAGGCTTTCTTTTTCTTCCCTCCTAAGAAACACTGATTAGTGATGGAGGTTTCCTCTAAATTGTAGTGAAATGGACTAGGATTTTTAGTTATTTATTTCTGCTGATGTGATGAATTCCACTTTGTGTACTTAATTGCTGTCTCCTATTGGATTCACTATATATATCTCTCCAAAGATTTGCTAAAAAATGAGCATACATAATGGAAAAATGCTTCAAACCTAATAAAATTTTTTTGTTATTCTTAAGACCCAAGAATTTTTTGATTATTAAATTTTTTTTTTTTTTTTTTTTTTTAAATTCTTTTTAAAATGTTCAAAATTTTGGTTAAAAATCTAGTTTTTCTTGTGTTAGCAGGGGACCATAAATTAATATAGGAAGTTTTCATGTTCTTTTTGCAGTGAAAAACACTTGGATTTGGAAATTCTTGCAAAAATAAAATAATACTCAGATTTTAATGTAAACTTTCAAGACTTGTTCATAAATGAATTAAGTTTTGTTACCCCCACCCCACTTATTTAATTTTATGAAAATTCTAGAAATTCATTTTTGTATGGCTTAATATTTATATTGGTTATATGCAGAATTTCTTGGAGAATTTAAATCTTTTTTTTTTTTTTTTTTTTTGTGTGTGTGTGTGTGTGAAGCAGGACCCCCAGTTACCAAAAATCTACTCTGAATTGTAAAATAAAAATGCAATAAAACTAAGACTTTATTTAATCAAAGCTTTTAATTGCTTTTATGAATAAGATACATTATGGACAGTATTATCTTAAGAAAAAAAATTTTTTTTGATGAATAAAGAATTTTTACAAAAATTCATTTCTTTTAAATTTTAATTATAATAATTTATAAAGTTTCAAATCTTTTAGGTGATATTGTTAATAAGTAAAAACTATATTTACTAATCATAAATGGAAAAGTTTACTACAATTTGGTGAACACCAATATTTTAAAAAGTTTTGAATTTTTTTGTGTGTTTATAAATGTGCCAATTTTTGTAAATATGGATGTCCATACAGAAGATTATCAGGAAATAAGAGTGATAACTATAGTAAACTTAAAGCAAAGTACCTAAAATTCAATAAAACAAATTGTGGACTATATTTTCCTACAGTTTTAAGATTACTGGGTAGTTAAAAATTCTATAAAAAAATGTGCTCACATTATATTCGTCAATTTTTATGGATCTGTCTCCTGTAGAAAAAGTTAAATTCCTGGCTGTCAATTTGTCAATACCTAATAAAACCCCTACCTCTGTGTTAAATTTTAACCAGCTTTTTGGACAATCACTTTTATCTATCCCTAAAGCATCACTGTCTTTCTC